GAGAAATCCGAACATCCCCGGAAGATAAAAGCGCGACGAGGAAACAAACGCGGCGTTATCGGTAGCATTGCGGAGGGAAAAATTACAGGAACATTGTAACCGAGCCCGGAACGGAGGAAGAGAAACGGGGCAGCCTTTCATCGCGGTAATTAATTAACTAAAAAACCGCAGCCGCTGTTCTCCAGTCGATTCAACGAGGAACACGCAGAGGCAAAACAGCGTTGGCGCGCGCGCACACAGCGAGCTCTGTCGAGTCCGCAGCGAAGACACGCGGGAGAACAAGGGATGAAAAAGGGGAAAAGAGGGAAAGAAAGGAAACGGCTGGAGAGAAATAATGCGAGAAAGGGGAAAAAGAAGGGAGAGGAGAGTGGAGGCGAGAGAGAAAACGGTACTCCGGTAGTAGCAGCGGTAGTAGCCTAGTTTTGCCCGCGACAATGAAGACGAGCAAAAGAAGAAAAAAGGAAGGGAGGGGGGGGGCGAGGAGGAGGAAAAGGAAAGCAACGGGAAGAAGGAGAGAGAAGAAAGCAGAGGCAGTGCCTTGGTAGCTCTCGCTGGACTAATAGCAGCTGGCTGGAGAAATAGTAATGCCGGGGCAATAGCGCGTCGTTGGTGTGGTAAAAGCCGCGCTCTAGCAATGGCTCCCCGTCGCCATGGCTATCCTCTCCGCGCCCTCCGCGTCCGAGTTCCTCTTCCCTTGGCTTCCACGTCTCTCTTCTTCGACCCCGTCCATTAATTAACAGGCTTTGTACTTTTAAACGATGTTAAATAAACGGCATTGTTCGCCAGCGAAAGGACTGAAAAGCAGGCGCCATTGTGCTTTAAGCCCGGTCCTCATCGTCGTCGACGACGCCGCCGACGACGACGACGGCGACGTCGGCGTTCGTAGCCGTGGTCCTCTCCGAAAGCACGGAAAGAGAAGGAAGGAGTGGTGGTCGAGAATACCTACCTACTAATACCGACGGTGCCGGCAAGCCTTTGTTCTAAACAAATACGCCAACCCACCCCCGACCAGAGTCCGTTCGCCACCCCTATTCCACCCCTTGTTCGTCCGTGCCACCTGCCTTTCAGGCAGGGAAAACGTGTATCGATTGAAATAGGCTGTAATGTAAATAGCGTCCAAGGAAGAGAGCCATCCTTTCGTCCACCGGATGTCCACCGGATGTCCACTGGATGATGCACGTGCGACTGCGGTTGCTTTCCATTTCGATATTTGTTGGAGAGTTAATTTTGCATCATCGGAAGA